GCTCGGTGGTACGCGGCTTCGTACTCGTGCTCGAATTCGGCACGGCACCCGCGGATACCACACTTGTGGCCGGACCCACGGGAAGGAACCCTTCTAGGGTCTCCGTTCCCAATCTCCTCGGGTGTAGGGCAACCAGCCACGCCCCCGCCATGGATCGCACTCCGGTCGGGGGTGTCCCCGAGATCGACGAATTCCCCAGGCACTGCAGCCTCCTCGGGAATCGGATCCACACTGAAAGGCACAAAGGTGTGCCGCGCAGGAGACTTCGGAGCGGGCCGTTCTTGGCTTGCCGACCGACGCTCCACGGATGCCATGAAATCGTCGATCCCGCGGAGGATGGCCTCAGTCTTGGCCCGTTCCTCCTCGGTCTCCTCTGGGACGGCCGTACCTCCTTCTCGGGAGCCCTCTGGGCCTCCCGTGGAGGCCGAGCTCGCAGAAGGGGCTTCAGCACTAGGAACGGCCCCCTTCGGAGCGGCCTTGAGCGGAGGCCCACCAAGCTTAGGCCGGATAGGGCCTTGGTAAGGCCCGGGCCCCAGCCCTCCATGAGGCAAGGGCCTTTCCGACCGGTTCCTCGCAGCAGGTGGCGGAGGAGGAGATCGCGCGATGGGCGGCTCAGCCGGCCCACCCAGCAACCATCCAGGCCTGGTGCTCAAGAACTCCTCGGCCCTCTCGGTTTCCATGATCAGGAACGGCGGTGGAGGCCTGACCCCTTTCGGCGTCGGGCCAGGCTTCACCGTGACCATTCCTTCCGGAACGGCTGGCCTCTTCGGCGGCGGCTTCGGGTTCGCCTTCTTGCTGAAGTTCTTCGGGTGGAACAAATCCGCTGGAGTAAGCGTACGGTCCGCCTCCATCGGCTGATCCCCAGGCGCTGCACCGGCACCCTCAGGGTCACCGGGCGCGGCCTGAGGATCCTCAGGCAGCTCATCCCGGGCCCTGGGCGGCGTCTTGTAGCGGATCGTGTCCGCAGGCGGTGCTTCGGGAGGCACCTTTTGAGGGGGGCGGTGTGATCTTCCCCGCTCCTGTTCCCCTGCCGAAGGCGCTCCCTCTGGGGCCACCTTGGGGGTAGGCTTTAGTTTGCCTTCCCGCCCTGGCGGCGGCCTATCATCGACCGTCCTGGACCGATGCAGCGCAGAGGGCATCCCACGGGGACCACCCTCCTTAGGTGGTCCAGGCGGGGGTCCCGCCGGCATTGCCGAGCTCTTGGCCCGCACCTCAACTTCCAGCTCGGAAGACGAGTCCTCGTCCCCGATATAGTAGTTGACCGGGCCGGCTCCGCCAGGCGGCGCCGACTGCTCTCTGCGGACTCCGCTCCCGGGCTCCGCATCATCGACCCACCGCAGGGTGTTACCCTGACGCTCTGCAAGCGAGAGGTCGAAGACTTCACAGCCGGGTTGCACCGTGAGGATTCGGAGGATGCATTCTGGAGGGACACGCCCTGTCAGAACACATCCGTCTGTCCCTCTCCAGACGGGCACCCCGGAAGCCCTTAGGAGCTCGAGGTTCGAGACCACAAGACAGGTCGAGTTCTTTCTAAAGCCCGACGTACTGTCCCGCTGTCTTGGGTACCCGGGCCCGATCACCCAATGGACAGTCAGGCGCGGGCCGTTTCCGCCTCCCGGGAGGAGGCCGTCGCGGCCGATCCGCCGCGCATGAAACACCTCTGTGCCATGACAGAGGGTGGAGCCTCCGTACTCTACCGAGAGCTCCCTCATGCCGGCCTCATCGAGGCCGTCTCCATACACGGTGCCCGCGGTCAATCCTGACCCACGGCCGTGTCCCTGGAGAGCCCGGATCCGGCCATCGACCAGCTCCAGCCGCTGCTTCTCCCGACCGCCAGCCGCGTTTTCCAGATCACTCGCCGCACCTGCCTCGATCGCGGACGAAGTGATCTGGAGCTTCTCGGCTAAGGCGGATACGCTAATCCAGCCCCCTTCGCCGAGATGGCCCTGCAGGCCGAATTTGCCGTGGCGGAGGGCTTGCGTAAGCGCCCTCTGGCAAACCGCGGGGTTCTCTAGCCACACCCACGGCTGCCATCGTGAGTTGCTATCACGACCGCCTTTCCCTTCGTTCCCGCGTCTGCGGCCACCTCCCATGGCGCCCCTCGCGGCTCCCTGGCCCACGAGGGGCCCGGCACACGGAGGAAAAAGTGGGAGTGGCTCCGCGACCAGCCGGTCCACGGAGGACCCACCGGCAGCGAAGGAAAGAGGGGTACACGCGACCTCCCGGCCCACGTGTGCCAAAGCACACCGCGAGGCGCAAGAAGCCGATGGCAAGGGCCCGCGCGGCCCGTCGCAAGCTACTGGGCTACTCGTCTTGAGCCCACGCTGCGCGGCCATGTCCTGAAAGGCAGGGGGTTCAAGGGGGCTGCACAGAGAGAGGGGGTAGGGCTCACACTCAGCACGACCTACACCCTGGACTACCTCACTACACCCTTGCTGCAGCACGCACGCAACGAGTAGTAGCATAGAAAGGAGGTAGCGACCCACGGGCGTACAGGCCTGCGTCCGAGCTGCCCCCCACGTTCCCCCCCGAACCCCCCCGACGCGGCACACTAAGACCCCGAACCCTAACCTAGACCCCGCGGTCAAGACACAAGCGGTCAAGACGAACACAAGCGAGTTAGGGTATAGGGCTCTTGTGGGGTGGTTAGTGTCCGTTAGGGATTCATCGTGTTTTGCTTTTGCTTTAGGCGCGACCTTCCGGTCCGCGTCAGGCGGACTGGAGCTCGAGCCGTCGCGGCCTCGAGCGCCTAAGGCTTCAAGGGCGGAAGCGGCGGTCTGAGGCGCGGAGCGGCTGCCCTTCCGGCACGCCGTCCTTATCTCCTCCTCTGCCTCCGCATCCGTGAGGAAACGGCCGTCAACGACCCTACCTGTACGAACCGTCAGGTCGTCGACATAGGCCACCCATTCCTTAGTGAACCTAAGCCTTCGATTGCGACCCGGCGCATACGCGCGGTCCACGACGTAGTTAAAATCGTCGGGACCATTGACAGGCCCGAAGGTAAGCCCAATAGGGAGGTACTTACCGCTACGCGCAACAATGGCAAGAACCTCCCTGGCACGCTTCGTGTTGCGGATCTGATTGAACCCGGAAACCGCATCAACGAAGCTATACCAGACTGATCCTACCGCTGCAGCGAGCACATCCGTGCTCCGCCGGCAGTAGTAAGTGGATCTCTTCACCCTGGCGTTTACCCTGCGGTAATCTACCACCAAGCGGCGTTTCCTCGCCCGCTTGTGGGAAGGCATCTCCTTCGTAGGGAAAGGGGCCGAACCCCAGGCCGAAGGGCCTCGCACAAGCTGCCCTCTCTGGACCTCCTCCTCAAGCCGGTCATCAACCCACTGCGCCGCTTCCCCGCGGAGCGCATGGGGCTGAGAGCTGACCCCTGCACGCCTGTCCTTTGGGAAATTTGTACTTAAGTACATTTTTTTTCTAAGGACAGGCCAGCGTCACGCTGTTTTTTGTGCTTTCGGAGGCTTGCGTGTTGGGGGACCTGAGCCGGGAGTGATGGAAGGCAGCCACTTGAGCCAAAAAACAAAAAAAATGAAAAACAAAACAGTTCTGGCGGATTTCAAGCAAAAACGGAGAGATACATGTGTGCATTATATAGTATGTGTATGTATTTTGTAAGCAAACATGTGTTGTGTAGCGTTTAGAAGAACCCCAAAACCCTGAAAAAGACCTTTCCCTTCCTTCTCTCCTCACTTTCGCACAGAATGCAGCAAACATGTCGCGTGAAATGCCCAAGCTTCGTAAGCATCGGATGACATCAGTCACGATTGCGTTGTCAAGCACGTAGATACGTCCTAATAAGTAATTCCGTATAGATTGTGGCAACCGCAGTCAGGACAAACAAAGGCTGCATCAGGGGAAAGTAGCTGCGATATTTGTTCGGCCATCGCAGTAATGTGACACGTACGTAGACAAACAGTACGTTCTTTACTCCGGAAGCCACAGCAAAGTTGAACCCCAGATAAATAATTTAGCCACCGTGCGAGCCCTGAAAACTACACACCCCGCGCGGAGCCACCGCGAACCCTTAGAAACCTACACACCCCGCGGGGCCTAACCCATCAGACCGCGGCTACACCATAAACCCTGGCTATCATCAAGCCAATAAACGCCAGCAAAGCACCCAACCCACAAACACGGGCCGAAGTAAACCCCAAACCCTATTATTCCGCTGTACTATAAGCCTACACGCAAACAATTAAACGTATCAACGAAACCCGAGGAAGCCTGACAAACTGAAAAGCCTCACCCTCCAACCCCAAACCCCAAACATCAAATGCCAAGCCCCGCAGACCCTAAATCCGAAACATCTTGTACCCACATGTACCCCGAGCAAAAGCAGGCCCTAAGCCCCAAGCCCAATTTCTCAATAGCTTAAACCCCCGACCCTACAGTATGTGAGGCCAAATATATGATATCTGAAGACTCCAGCGAGAATATGCAGGCCTAGATTCCGAAGACTCAAACCAACCCCTAAACCCCAAACCCCAAACGCGAAGGCCTAAACCCGAAACCCTAAAAACTTAAACCGCCAACTCCAAATATTATATATGTACATATATAATATTTGGAGTTGGCGGTTTAAGTTTTTAGGTTGTCACGAAATCTGAAATTGCCCAGCCCACCCCAGCGCAGACACGACTGCTCGCAAGCCACTATATTTACCGGCATCCATGCACGCTCATGCATGAGTGGCAAGCCAATGCGCCAACAGATGTTGCCCGAAATGTTATTTGGGCGGCATCGCGTAGATCAAGCTATGCAAAATTGTTGCACATGCACTCACGCAGCTATATATAGGGCGCCCCTGCGAAATGATATTTGGGCCTATAGCTGTGGCAAATCTCACTCAGATGTTGCCCGAAATGATAGTTGGGCCTGAGCAATATATCAAGCTATGTGAAATCGCAAAAGTTGCCCAACGAATCGAACTGAACCGCTTCTTGTTTTACCGCCCCGCCAGCCAGCAGTTATACTGCAAGAGCCACCTTTGCAGCACTCGGAGCGACAGCGTAGCGGCGTGCACGGCCCCACGGGCACATTTCATGACTTTGCCGACAAAGTCCTCCTCGAGATTGCACCCGGCGTACCGGGGATTCAATCGGCTGTATGTCAATCTGCAAACGCATTCGCAATGATATTGATGAAACTTTGGCCTGATCTTATACCTGAGTGCGGTTCTGCTCATATTCTTGATCGTTAGCACAGTCCATGCTTGCATGTAATCACATATTTAGACGGGAGGCCGTGGCTCCAGCATCTCGAGATATCGCGATGCCAGGGCCAGGTAGGAGTGGCAATACCATCTGCCGAGCCTTGGATCATCACAGACTTCTACAAAATTCGTTTTTGCACAACAGGGCTCCACACACACGCAACACCGGTGCAGCAACGGTTCTGCTGCGCCAGCATTGCCTGCTCATCCGACAGCCAGATTGAGCAGGCGTCCAGCAAATTCGAGAATGCTGTGATCGACCAGGCATTCACTGCCGCCAATCGAAGCTCGGGAATCGTTTGGCAAACCTCCTTAGGCCCAAATCCTATACAAACCACAGCTGCATACAAGCGTGGACCGCAGATCGTCAAGCAGAGAATATCGCAAGGCAAGAGGCAGACAGCCGTTCGGCTAAGTACGCCATCCTTATATAGGCACATGCAATGTTTGTGCTTTGCTCCCTTTGCGCTCTCCCTATACTCTCCCTCTCTGCTGAATTATTGGTGTGCCAAGCAACAAGACACGGTTTGCATATCCTTTTCCCGGCCCCTTCGGGTACTCCAATGTGACCGCATCGATTCCCAGCTTCACCAAACCTCAGATATATTTTGCGGATGCAGCACGAATTGTCAGTACGGAGTGGTTCCAGCAGCCGAAAATACGAGCAGCTGGGTGACTCAGTCCATCAAGAATGCTGGGTCGGATATGGTGCTCCGTGCACCACATCTGAAAGTCCACATGCAGGTGATGCAACCTTTCATCCCACGTTTCGTAAGCCTGAAACTGCGGAGAAAACTTCGCCAGCTCCATAACATGAGACGCAGTGGCATCCCTCTCAGTTCCCAGATACAGGCAATGGAGCAAATCTGGATACTCACAGGAGTGGTGGTAGCCAGGAAGTCTCCACATCCTCGAATACGACACTTTGCGGCGCAACATGCACGGCGGACACGCACTTGGTAATTGTCTAGAGCCTGAACGCAAAGTTAAAAGTTTCCAAACATAAGTCAAGCCTGGTGACGCGATGTTTGCACCAACGCCTAAGACAAACGAAGCAGCGCGTGCAATAAGTGACACCCGCGACACAACTCAAGCCAGCTCCACACCACACTTGCATTAGAGCACCATGCCGCCTAGCTACTATCATTCGAAGCTTCATCCAAGTCTGCCTGGTTATCGAAGCCCTCACGCATGTCAGCCCAATGCTTTCCAGGTGTGCTGCCATCGCACAAGCATCTCGGGCAGATTCTGCCGGCGTTCTGCTCACGAGGAGCATTGCTAGCAAGGTTCCCGTAGCTTCTACATTGTTCCAACCATTCCCTTTTGTGCTTCCAATCTCCCTTCGATATGACAGGGTGCATGGTCCATCCGTGTTGGCCTTCGCTGGCGGGGTCGCCACAAATCCGAAAGGAATCGGCGTAGTAGCGCTGTAGCGCCTGAAGCGTGATATTCTGGCCGTTGTCGTAGACAAATCTGTCTGATCGCACAACCTCAGCCATGATTCACACACACTGTGTGCATGTGCACATCCGCTGCACGCATACATAAGCGACGTCTGGAATTCACATAGATGCATTAGAGGAATCTAAAACACCGGCCAGGGCACACAGAACGGGAACTTCTGCAGCATCGAGTCGCCCCGGTGGATGGCCAAGGGCGAAAGCGACAGGATCAAGATGCTTTTGCTCCTCTTCCCAGTACCCTCATCGCCGTGAATCGACACGGCCACCGCTTTTTGCCTGGCCTCCTCCGGCCAGGACTGCACCGGATGATTCCTTGTATATGTTGCCGGATCGACATATGAAACATTCCACGTACTGCACTCTAGAAAACAAACAAGACACAGTCCAAACACACCTGCATGCTGCGAGAAAAACGCATCCCCCATGGCTCGCTCTTGGCCTTCTGCCACCAGTCCAGCCAGTCGACAGTGCCCGCCCTTATTGATTGCGCAGTGTGGATGGAGAATTCAAAACATCACGACATCACCAACATGCGAGAGCATCTATTCCAATCTATGCATATGCACGCATGCAATGCCAGCAAGCATCAGCTCTGCGATCAAGCCAGAGCAAACCATGCTCTTAAAGAGAATATGAGGCAACAGCACCGGCAGCGTTTGCATGCACTTATTCTCAGTCGACTGGGCCCTCTTGCTCTTCTTCTTGGGGTTTCGCCTCCTCGGCAAACCAGCCCTCCTCAAGCGACAATTGATTTGTCGTCGCACTTCTTGTTCTCGTCGCGCTTCAGCACGCATATCTTTCATCATGAGGGACACCGAACTCAAAGGGCATACTAGTGGAGCCTCGGATATCCTTGCATACATTCCGACATGTTCTTTAGACGGCATACATATATTATTTATATTTAGACATCTAATATAATTCAGACCGGCGACATCGCTCTTCGAGCAAGATACAGCCTTGCTCAGTGGCTCCTCGATGTGTTGCGCACAACGTCCTGATGCGCCCAAACTCGCAGCCCACCTGGTACCTTGGAACCGGGCATCTGCGTGCATGATTTGCCAAGGCATGCAATGATATAAGGTATTATAACCATTGTGCAACAAGGCACTGGGGGTCACATTTGCATCCCCTGCTTCTGCGACGGCCGCAGACGCCACTTCTTGAAGAAGTCCGGAGCTGGCTCCCCGGCCCACGTGAAAACCGAGTGTTCTGCTCAACGCGCTTTTCCGCAATGAAAACTCGGCAAAAGATGGTCTTCTGGCAACAGAACCATCACTGCCAGCAGTCGCCTGATTTCTGTCCAGGCTCTTTTTCAAATGAACCAGTCTCTTCAGCAGCGGCATAGGAGCCCAGGCTGGGGTCAGACAGCACGAAAAGGAAAGCCATGATGACGTGTAGGGTGGGCTGCATGGGTGGGCTCGTGTAGGGTGTGGTGGTGCATGGTGATACATAGTGGCATGTTGCATACCAAAGTGCATAGGGTGGTCTTGCATGGTGCATGGTGGTATTGTGCATGGTCGCATTGGGGAGTGAATCATACAAGTAGTATTACAAGGTGACCGATGATCCAGAGGTTGAATGAAAGAGAACGTCATCGCATGACTCAACAAAAACTCTACATGGGGCTGGGTTGGCACCTCGAACATAAGAAGCATGGCCGTGCACACATATGCTCATGGACGACTGATGCCAGACTCAAGGACACGCGCTTCAGGCTTCAAGCC